CCTGGCACCTTCCATTCGACTGTGTCTAGGAATCTGATGACTCGAGGGACCCCATGAAAGTGAAACCCCACAGGATTTGCCTTCCATGCCTGGCTTACCGCACGCTGCACGATGGCCTCAAGGCTCATCCAAGGAGCAGCAGGTGTCCGGCTTTCCTTCCTTTTTAAAGCTGAGTGATATTCCACTGCATGGTGGGGGATCACGTCATTTTTTCCATGATGCCTTCAGTTTTCGGCTGTTGTTCCCATCTGTAAGCTGGAACATCCCTTGACGGAGGAGGGATGCCTGGGAGTATGTGAGCCCTTCCTCTCTCCAGGATGATTCTCCGTTTTGCAGGGGCAGCCCACCATCCTGGACTCCCAGCTGAGGGGCCGCCGAACCTAACAAATGAAAATATAGGCTGTCCAGTTACATTTGAATGCCGCAAAATCCACAAATGCTTTCTACTTTTATTTGTGTAGAGACGGAGTCTCGCTCTGTAACCCATGCTGGAGTGCAGTGGCATGATCTCGGCTCACTGCAGTCTTCACCTCCCAGGTTCAAGCGATCCTCCCGCCTCACCTCCCCAGTAGCTGGGATTACAGGCACCCACCACCATGCCTGGCTAATTTTTTTGTATTTTTAGTAGGGACAGGGTTTCATTATGTTGGCCAGGCTAGTTTCAAACTCCTGACCTCAAGTGATCCACTAAGCTCGGCCTCCCAAAGTGCTAGGATTGCAGGTGTGAGCCACCCTACCCAGCCAACCAGCACTTTTTAAATGTAACTATGTCCCATGCAGTGTGTCCTCTAAAGAACGATGTGTTCATCTGAGACTCAGATGTTACCAGGCGTGCTGTGTCTTCTGACAGCCCTGTCTACAACCCTCATGGAAGGGGCAGTAGCTGAGGGTGCCATCTTGGGGTGAAGGGAAGGGCCCTGCAATGGCAGCCCATGCCCAGCTTGGACTGGCCATGGGAAGGCAACTGTCCAGACAGATCTGGCCTTTGTAAAGAGCCACCCCCCGAGATCCACCGAGTCTGGTTCCCATTTCCTCCTCACAAACTCCAGCCTGGAAGAGCATTTGGGTGTGGAGCAAGCCACAAGGTTTCCCTGCAGTGTGGCCCACACTGGGGTGCTGGGTGGTTTTGAGTCATCTACCCGCTCTGCCTCTTCCCCACACCTGTCGCAGCTGCGCCCAGTGCTGGGACCTTTGGGGAAGAGGCTGAGGCTGACACTCTGGTAGGATGTGCAGCGGTGCTGTGGGGTCCTGGGGTCAGGTTCACACACATCCCTGCTCTCGGGGCCCTTGGCCTCCTGCAGGAGAAGGTGCCACGTCCTAGCAGGTGCGAGGGCAGGAGCCCCATCACGGGAGTCGGAGGTTTCTTCCGGTGTGGATGGCGGTGGATCACTCCCAGGTTAGCTGCCTCCCCAAGCAGTTTTGGGTGTAGAATGACCGACCAGTGTGGGAGTGCCGACGTCCAGACCCCTTGCCTCCAAGTGGGACAAGGCTGAAGCTGGCCTCCTGCCGAGACCACCACCTCCCTCGGCCCTGTCCCTGCTGCCATGTCCTTCCCCTGGCACCCCCACTTCTCCTGCCCCAAATATATCCGGTTCACAGTCTTCCCAGCGCAGGCTCTGCTGCTGGAGAAGTTGCCCTCAGGCTGCTTGCTGATAACTTTTTTTTTTTTTTTGCGATGGAGTTTCTCTCTGTCGCCCAGGCTGGAGTGCAGTGGCATGATCTTGGCTCGCTGCAACCTCTACCTCCCAGGTTCAGGAGATTCCCCTGCTTCAGACTCCCAGTTAGCTGGGACTACAGGCAGGCACCACACACTGGGGTAGTTTTTTGTATTTTAGTAGAGACGGGTTTCACCATGTTGATGGTCTTGATCTCCTGACCTCATGAGCCGCCCATCTCGGCCTCCCAAAGTGCTAGGATTACACGTGTAAGCTGCTGCGCCTGGCCTGCCCATCACTTTTTAAACAGAGGCTTTAGCACATGGCAGGTGCCACCATCTCTTGGAGTGAGGTGGCCTCAGGGCCTCTGGTCAGGGCTACAGCCTGATCCGTGGTCTTTGCATGCCTGTCCTCTGCCCCAACTGGGCCATGTGCCACATGGGGCGTGAGGGGCCTGTGTTGCGACTCCCCCTGGGGGCTGGTGATGTGGTCGAGCTGGAAGGTGTGTTCTGGAACATCTAAGACCCTGGCCACTGTCCTGAGTCAGGCCACAGAGTTCTCCCGCCGGTCCAAATGCCATGGGTGCCGGGCCGGGCGCTGTGGGCCCGAGGACTGGGGTGCTTGGGGGTGCTGTGGAGGAGGAGTGGGGCTGGAATGGAGCCCGTGGGATTTTACTGGAGGGGTGGGAGTTTGAGAGGAGAGTGTATACAGAGCCTTGGGTAGAAAAGGCTGGGATGGTCAGGACCCCTTGGGGGTGGTGGGTGAAGGTGTCAGGGTGTGGGGATACCCCTGGGATGGACCGGTCACTTGGGGCTACGCAACTTTGGATTCCACACTTAGTTTGGATCCTGCCCTCTGGTGTGGAGGGTGTGAGTGGAGGGGGCCTGGCTGAGGAAGGGGGAGGGGCAGCACGGAGGGGACGGCTGCTTTGCTCCGAGAGATGGCGGCGACGGCCACCTGCTGCAGCCTCTGTTGAAAAAGCAACCGACAGAACAGGAGCAGCTGCCGCCAGCTCCCATCCATTTTGTCCTCTGAAAAGAGAGATTGGGGTGGCCAGGTCTTCATTTTCACTAGACGAGAGATGTGAACTTTGATATGAAATCTTTTGGTTTTGAGATGTTTCCCAGGTATTGCAATTTTTTTTTTTTTTTTTTTTTTTAAAGACAGGGTTTCACCATGTTGGTCAGGCTGGTCTTGAACTCCCGACCTCAGGTGATCCGCCCGCCTTGGCCTCCAGAGTGCTTGGATTACAGGCGTGAGCCACCACACCCAGCCTTGTAATTCCCATTTTTTATGAAAATGCCAGTGTGACAAATTAAACCTAAATATCCGTAAGTCTCAGCCTCTGGGCCTCTGGTCTGCAGCCTGTGCTACTGTGTGTTGGAAGCGTGGTGGGATGGACCCTGTGTGCTCCCCACAAAAGTCCTTACCAGGGTGGCACGTCCACTCTGTCATTGCCTGACTGCAACAAGAAGCTGGAATGACTAATGAGACTTGAGGTTTGCCACGGCGGGCCCCATGCTGAGGCTGGGGTGGTCCTCACGGTGACCTGTGGCATGAGGCGTCTTGGTTCCATTCCACAGATGAGGAAAATGAGGGCCAGCAGGGCCCAGACACTTGCCTGAAGTCACAGCTCACAGAGCAAGACAGGGGCCCAGGTCTGCGGACCAGGTTTCTTTTTTATTTTGTTGTGGTAAGAGAAATACAAAATGTGCCATGTTAGCCACTTTTAAGTATACAGTTCCGTGGCATTACTTACTTTCACGGTGTTAGGTAGCTGTTGTCACTATTTACCTCCAAGAGTTTCCCACCATCCCACTGTCCCTATTCAGCACGGACTCCACACACCCCACTCCAGCCCTTGCACCCACTGTGCTACTTTCTGCATCTCTGAGTGTGACTAAGGACCCTGTGTACCTGGAAGCTTCCAATATGTGGCCTCTTTTGTGCCTGGCTCAGTTCACTCCGCATAATATCTTCAGGTTCATCTGCGTTGCAGCCTGTGTGAGAATGTCCTACCTTGTCAAGACTGACTGGTGTTCTGTTGTATGGACGGATCGCATGGAGTCTGTGCATTTACCTGGTGGTGGACTTGGGGGTTGCTGTTGCCTTTCCAGCCCTGGGAACAGTGCTGCTGAGAACCCAGGTACACAGGCAGCTGCTCTGGTCCCTGCCCTCCCTTGTTTTGGGGATATCAGGTCTGCTGATTTTATGCCTGAAGGTCATGGGCCACTGCCCCTTGCCTCTGCCCTTGACTCTCTTTCCTGGTGTGCCCACTGTGTGGTCTTCCACACTCTTCTTGGATAACTCCAGCAATGGGGAGCTCACTGCCTCCTAGAGCAGCCCACACCTGTGTCCCTGCAGCTGCCACTTAGCCCCCTGACCCAGGATGCATCTCCTTGTCCCCACCGCAGAACTTCCGTGTTCACTCTGGGTTCTGTGGTTCCCACTCTGCACCACAGAATCTGATGTCTCCCTTCTCCCTCCCTGGTTTCCAAGAGAGAACAAAATCTAACCATGAGAAGCAGGATGGAGGTGTCTTCAAAAATAGCCACTGGTGATAGAAGTTGTAAGAATGTTGGCCAGGTGTGGTGGCTCATGCCTGTAATCCCAGCACTTTGGGAGGCTGAGGTGGGTGGAGCACCTGAGGTTGGGAGTTCAAAACCTTCCTGACCAAAATGGAGAAACCCCGTGTCTACTGAACGTACAAAAAAATAGCCAAGAGTGGTGGTGCATGCCCGTAATCCCAGCGAGTCGGGAGACCGAAGCAGGAGAATCTCTTGAGCTCGGGAGGTGGAGGTTGCAGTGAGCCAAGATTGTGTCATTGCACTCTAGCCTGGGCAACAAGAGTAAAACTCCATCTCACAAAAAAAAGAAGTTGTAAGAATGCACTGTGGTGTGTCTGCCTCCACATACCCCGCAGCAGGTTTCATCAAGATAGGAAGCACGCTGGTGGTAGTGTGGCTTGTGCCTGTAATCCCAGCACTTTGGGAGGCTGAGGTGGGAGGATCTCTTGAGCCCAAGAGTTAGAAACCAGCCTGGGAAACATGAGACCCCATCTCTACAAATAATTTAAAAATTAGCAGAGCATGGTGGAACGCACATGTAGTCCCAGCTGCTCAGGAGGCTGAGGCAGGGGGACCACTTGAGCCCAGGGGTTCCTGGCTGTAGTGAGCTGTGACGGCATCACTGCACTCCAGCCTGGGCAACACAGCAAGAACCTGTCTCAAAAAACAATTTGTAGGAAGCTCAGGCAGGCCTGTGGCGGCTTCCGCCCTGTCCGTGGCCAGACCGTGCCCCCTCCTGTGTCACTAGGCACTCACCCTTTTCTCGTTGTCTCCCCAGGGACCTACCAGGGCCAGTGGGTCGGTGGCATGCGCCAGGGCTATGGCGTGCGGCAGAGTGTCCCGTATGGCATGGCCGCGGTCATCCGCTCGCCCCTGAGGACGTCCATCAACTCCCTGCGCAGCGAGCACACCAACGGCACAGCGCTGCATCCCGACGCCTCTCCGGCAGTGGCCGGCAGCCCGGCCGTGTCCCGCGGGGGCTTCGTGCTCGTGGCCCACAGTGACTCCGAGATCCTCAAGAGCAAGAAGAAGGGGCTGTTTCGGCGCTCGCTGCTGAGCGGCCTGAAGCTGCGCAAGTCGGAGTCCAAGAGCAGCCTGGCCAGCCAGCGCAGCAAGCAGAGCTCCTTCCGCAGCGAGGCGGGCATGAGCACCGTCAGCTCCACGGCCAGCGACATCCACTCCACCATCAGCCTGGGCGAGGCCGAGGCCGAGCTGGCGGTCATCGAGGACGACATCGACGCCACCACCACCGAGACCTACGTGGGCGAGTGGAAGAACGACAAGCGCTCTGGGTTCGGCGTGAGCCAGCGCTCGGACGGGCTCAAGTACGAGGGCGAGTGGGCCAGCAACCGGCGCCACGGCTACGGCTGCATGACCTTCCCGGACGGCACCAAGGAGGAGGGCAAGTACAAGCAGAACATCCTCGTCAGCGGCAAGCGCAAGAACCTCATCCCCCTTCGGGCCAGCAAGATCCGCGAGAAGGTGGACCGCGCCGTCGAGGCCGCCGAGCGGGCCGCCACCATCGCCAAGCAGAAGGCTGAGATCGCGGCTTCCAGGTAGGCGGGCGAGGGGGCGGAAGGTGTCTGTGAGCCTGGTCTGTTCAGTCCAGCTGTTCCTCGAGGCCTTGGACTGGGTTCGGTTTGAGGCCTGCACTGCTGTTTTTCTCAAACTATGTCCCATGGAACCCTAGGGTTCCCTCGAGGTTCTCAGAGGGGACTGTGGGCAGGATTGGTGCAGAGAAATGGTTGGTTTGTGGGGGCTCGGAGAGCTGCAGCCTCCCTTGAAACCGAGTACTGTCTCTGTTCTATGTACTGATGTTTAAAATGTTGGTGGGTAAAGAAGGTGGCCTTTTCGGTTGGTATAACGCATCAGACCACTGCTGTGCTGGCCAGGAGGGGTGATGCCACCAGGTGGGGGTGGCAGGGCCAGCACCGCAGGCATGTGGGAGGTAAAGCTACAGAGGCCTGCTGTCTGGGTTCTTTCTGGTCCCTGAGAGATGGCTGCAGCTGGGAGGCCAGTTGCAGGTGCGTGGCGAGGGGCTCACGCAGGCCTGGTGCTTTGGGGCAGCCGCTGTTCTGAATGGGCGCATGACTTACTGGCTTTGGGGTCTAGCAGGACCTCTGGGCCCTGAGGAATGGGTGCAGAGGTAGCTATGGGTGGGACCCACATAGCTTGTGGGTTCCTTTAGGGGTGGGTACAGGGTGGCCTTCAGGGCTGGAGGAAGGTGCTCGGGGTCTGGTGAGCATGTGACCCTGGGGCTGGTCCCAGCGAGGCTGTGGCCAGCAGGAGCCGCCTGTGTGGGAAGTTTCCCTTCGGAAAGCCAAGGGCCCCACAGGTGTATGTTTGGGTGTTAAAGTAGCTGAGGTTACTTAAGGGCTTTGTCAAGACTTGGGAAGGCGTTTTAGGAAGCCCAGAGCCTTTGCTTCCCACCTGCGTTTGCTTTCCTGGGCCAGAGGTGGGCCCTTGGAGGAGCCCCCAGAGTCTTGGGGCAAGGATCTGGGAGCTTTGAGGGAAGTCCTGGGCTGCCCAGGTAGGAGGCTTCCGTGGGGACATTCCCCTGCATCTTTCTGGATGCTTCTGTGTTCACAGCCCGGGGCAGGCGTGGCATTCTTCCAGGAAAGCTCCCAGCTCGGGTACGGCTCAGCCCTTCCCAATCTGTGGCTAATTAAACTTCAGCCACGTTGGTTCTGATTTTCAGTGACCTTTGATCTATAGTGAAAAACAAAAACGGTGGCTGTGGTTGGTTGGCAGAAGATGCCGCTCGCGACTTCTGTGGCTTTAGAGGGAAATGAGATAGATTTCAAGAAGCCTAAAGAAACGTGGAATTACCACCTGACATTGAGGTCCAAAAGCGCTCGCCCTGGTTTCTGCCCCAGACCGCCCCCCCAGAAGTGTTCAGGCAGGGAAATAAACAGGAGCCCATGTGTGGCTACTCACCTGGTATTTTAAGAACAAATTAGATTCAGTAGGTATTTTTTCCATCATAAACGTAATGCTTGTTCCATGGGAAAATAAATAATCCTGAAAACGGGGAAAGCAGCCTTAGCTCTGAGCTGATGAATCAACTGAGCACTCTCCTGGCTTTTTGGTGAATTTCTTTCCTCCTCGATTTGTTGTCTTTTGTTTTTCAACTCTTTCTGTTTTGTGCATTTTTGACCCTGGTGGACAAGAAGAAGTTTTGGGGGCCGGGGGCAGCAGCATCACAGATTTGAGGACGCTCGTGGCAGGTCCTGTGTGACCTGCAGATTGGTTCATTACTTCATCACTTCATTAGTTCTTGGCAGCTCGAGGACTTGGCAGAAAGTGCCCTGCAGGATCGAGCATATTTTATAGCTGTGGCACCGGGTAGATGTCTGTAGGACTTGGGGGACATGGGACGTCAGACTGTTCTCAGACGAATTACCCTAGATATTAAGAGAAGCATCTTCCCGTTAAGGAGCCAAGGAAGATGGACAGGGCTGGGGCCAGCATAGGTAAGGAGCTGCCTGGAGGCAGGTTGTCAGCCTCTCTTGGCCTTGGCTTCCAATCTCTGAAGGCCTGCGAAGCTTAGGGTGTAACAGCTCCCTTCTTGGGGCATCCAGCCTCCGCCTGGGGTTTTGGGGGGCCCACGGGGTCTGCGTGGGAACGTTGTTGGGGGAGGGGTCTACTTGGAGGAGGGGCCTATGTACAAGTAGACAGCATGCTGGGGTGAAAGCCCGAGAGCTGGGCCAGAAGGGTGAGACCCAAGACCCCTGCAAAGGAGCCAGGGCCAGGGCACGGTGGGTGTACCTTCTAGTGAGTCCCCAGCCTTGGCATGGCCAGTGCCCCTGTATCTCCTGGGGAGGCATTTTACTTCATGGGCAGAAGGACAGACAGATGGGAAGAGGGAGTGAGAGGGAAGGGGCGGGTCTGCAGGCCTGTGCACTGTGAAACTGACAGAGCCCACCGTTCCCAGCCTGCGAGACCCTGCAGCCCATACTGCCTGGCAGGTCGGGCTCGCCGTATGTACTGGCGGAGTCACCGAGCTGACTCCATCCCTTCGCCTGAGCAGGTGCCGTGGGCAGGGAGGTGGCTCCTTCTTCCAACATGACTAGGGTCTTGGAGGCAGCTCCTTTGTGGGAAAGGAACTGGCTCCCCGAGTTCCCACTCATGGCCTTCCCACCGCCGTGCACAGCTTACACATCTGTGCACACCCATGGAGCCGCACTGTGTGGGCACAGGTGCACCCAGGTGAAGGGAGGTGTGGCCCCTCCTTACCCTCGTCTCCTGGGTGATCTCTAGGTGACGGGCCACTCCTTACCCTCATTTCCTGGGTGGTCTCTAGGTCACTGGCATTTAAAGTGTCCAAGAGACGAGGCCTCAGGCCTCAAATGGGCTCTTGGAACTGGCTTCTCACTGTAACCTCTGAGACCCGCAGACCCATGTCCTGCCTGGGTTGTCATGGCCGAGTGCCCCAGACTCATCACCTCCACTCGGTGCTGGGTTCCCCACTGGAAGGGGCGGGGCTCCCTGCTCGCTGTGGTGGCTCAGTGTGGGCTGGGCCTGTGGGGCCTCAGGTTGCACTTGGTGCCCTTGTCCCCCAGCGCTGCTGTGCGCCAGGCGGGGGAGGCAGGTGTGTTTGTAACGGGTTTGACTCTTGGAGGCGGGAGGCGACACAGTGTTTCCGGCCATCAGAGGTTGGAGGATGAGTCTCCATTCCCGGCTGCAGGGCCTGGAGCTGTGTTTTCTCAATGGGATTAGAATTGGGAAGAAAAGAAAACAGGGAGGGGACAGAGTCCGCGGCTCTAAAGAGCGAAGCTGATGAATGGCTGGCTCGGGTGCCCACAGCCCCGGGGCCGACCCTCCACTGGAGCGTGAGCGTGGCTGCACCACGTGGGCTGAGGAGTGACTGGCCCCGGGCGGGCTCCTGCTGCTGTCACAGCCAAGGACTCCAGGGAGCTACAGGGCGGCTGACGCTGTCCTCGCCCGCCCCGGCCGGCAGGGCTTGTCAGGCTGTGTGAAGTGAGAAACAGTTTGCTGTGTCTACCACAGAGGGCCGGGCCCTTCCCCTGAGAGCAGCTCTGCAGGGAAGGCAGGAAGATGGGACAGTGTTTTCCTGGAAAACGGGGCAGCAGGCGTGGAGCTCGGAATCTGAGAGGTGGTGCTGTCGTTCCCACCTGGCAGAGGGGCAGGCTGAGGTCCCGTGCTGCTGAGGGGACTGGCCCCGAGGCTGGGAGCCCGGCCTCAGCCCCAGGCCCTGGAGTCACTGTGGGTTCTGAGGCCCACGATGCCCTCCCTGGCCATGCGACATCATTGTCTGGGATGCGCCCGGGGTTTGGAGCCTTCGAGGCTCTGCAGGTATAAAGATGGTGGTCAGGCCCCACGCCTCAGACTGTCGCATCATGTCTAGGTGGGGCCTCAGGACCTGCATTCTGACCTGGGCCGCTGGATTCAGATGCTGCTGGCCCGAGAGCCCCTGGCTCTCTTCCATCTGATGTGGGTGCTGCGCCTGGAGGCCTCGGCCCCACGGGCAGCTGAGGCATCACACACAACCACAGTACAGGTGGGAGGCAGAGTCCAGCCCAGCGAGGGTGTGCGGTGGAGATGAGGGAGGGGTGGAGCAGGTGGTTCCAGGGGATTATGTCGGGGTGAGACCCTCTGCTGCAGAGGGAGGCAGGCAGGAGCTGGTGACCCCTTGGAGCTGAGGTCAGGTGAGAAGGGGCTGCAGTCTCCCCATGCCATTCTCTTGTGGGGTCCTCCTCACCCCAGTGGGAACTCTTACTAGTGAAATTCTGCCGTGTCACCTAGCAATGGACCACAGGGCATTGGCCCTCCTGCCTTCAAACACTTAGGGCATTTGTATGGCACATCTGCCAGGAGGGCACACACAGGGCACCTTTGCACGGCATTGCCTGTCCCTACCCTCTCACTGTACCTGGGCAGACATAATGAATCCATCACAGTCCTCGAAGCCTGGGTTACTCTGGAAGATGAAACTCAATGCTGTTGGTGATCTGCTGCTCACTAGTGGCCCTGGGTTGGGAATCGGGATGTAAACATGTCACCCATCCTAGAGAGGAAAGTCCTGAGGTGTGACTTGGCTTCATTTTCTTTTTTTTCTTTTTTTTTTTTTTGAGATGAAGTTTTGCTCTCGGCTCACTGCAACCTCCGCCTCCTGGGTTCAAGCAATTCTCCTGCCTCAGCCTCCCGAGTAGCTGCAACTACAGGCATGTGCTACCGCACCCGGGTAATTTTTGTTTTTGGTAGAGATGGAGTTTCACCATGTTAGCCAGACTGGTCTTGTACTTCAGACCTTGTGATCCGCCTGCCTCAGCCTCCCAAAGTGCTGGCGTTCCAGGCGTGAGCCACTGCACCATTGTTGTTTTTGTTTGTGTATTTTTTTTAGTAGAGATGGGGTTTCTCCATGTTGGTCAGGCTGGTCTGAAACTCCCAGCCTCAGGTGATCTGCCCAACTCGGCCTCCCAAAGTGCTGGGATTACAGGTGTGAGCCATTGCTTCATTTTCAACAGCCAATACCCTCTGCCCCACAGTTCTAGTAGAAGCCGAGCTTGGGGCGATGGGGCAGATTGTAGCCTGT